TAAACAGGATAGTTTGTTGATATAATATTCTTGAATGTGTAAAGCGCGGTCATATGGAATTATAGAAAACATAGAAGACACGGACGTCGTGTATGTTTGCTCAACACTCACAGCGACGGGATTTTGCTGTTTTTGTCAAACGTGGTGTTCGACTTAGGTTCATCGCAGTGGCAAACTTTGATGTCGGCGGCGGCGGAAACGTACGTTGCGGACGTCGAGTGAAGCAACACGGACGGTGCCAACTTCATTTCACAATCTCCTTTTTTTTTTTTTTTTTTTTTTGCAGCCGTTGTGACAGATTTGTCTAGTGCAAAGAAGCTCGGGGGGGGGGGGGGGGGGGGGGGGTAGTTTTGAGAAAGTCGATTCAACTCTGCTCGAGGTCAATGCTGACTGAAACCAATTTGAGCTCTTTGCAACGCCTGAAAAATATTGCCCAAGGCCAAGTTTTTTTAGAAGAACACAGAGCTTTCCACCAGAAAAAAACACCGCTAATTACAAAAAGTAAAAAAAAAAACTAATTTTCAGTTGTGGAGCTGTCTACCGCTAAACGGTAATACTTCATGCGTATTCGCATCGAAAAAAGAATTAAAAGTGTCCCCAGAGATGAAAGGCATGACGGCCCAGTCCTTTGCCCACGTTGGGTGGTCGGAAATCCGAAAACAATAAAGTTTCCGAGCCGCACTTTACAGGGTGAATCAAGGAGTGTCCAAGCTCTTTAAATCGGCCGCAAAATTAGGTTTCTTAACCTATCGCGCTACTAGTTTGTGCAGCGTTGCCCACAGATGGTGATTTTTTTTTTTTTTTTTTTTGTAAAATTCGCAAATAGCGAACTTACCTGAGGAAAAAGTAAAGAAAGAAAAAGGCTTGGCTCCTATGGAAACGCAGCGAAACCACCGGTCTTCAAACAACACGGCGCCGTTTCGCACGGGAGACAAGAGATGGCGCAAGCGGTCGCGACGCCAACTGCCGCCAACGAACGAGCATACGACGCCGAGAGCCGGCGTCTTTAGCAGACAAGAAACTGCAGTTCCTTGTTGTTACCGCGCCTGTTTTTGTTTCCGCGACTGTCGCCGCCTGCGAAACGCGCGCCGCTTTTGAGTCGGAAAGATCGTCTGCTAAAGACGCTGGCTGTCGGCGCCGTATGCTCGTTCGTTGGCGGCGTTCGTTGCGCCATCTCTTGTCTTCCGTGCGAAACGGCGCCGTGTTGTTTGAAGACCGGTGGCGTCACTGTCACTGCGTTTCCATAGGAGCTAAGCCTTTTTCTTTTTTTTTTACTTTTTCCTCAGGTAAATTCGCTCTTTGCAAATTTTACAAAAAAAAAAAAAAAAAAAAAAAGCACCATCTCTGGGCAACGCTGCATTAAGTCGCAGCGCTATATGTTAAGAAACCACATCTTGCGGTCGATTTAAGAGCCTGGCCTCTTTTTGAATCACCCTGTATATATATATATATATATAGTCGGTTACAAGTCAAGAAGGTAGGAGAAGCTCCTCCCACAAGTGTGATGCGCCCGTTTCAAATCTCTCCGCAGTCGAAAGAAGAGTTCACTGGAAACGCTCCTTGTTCCGCTTCAATGGATTCCCACTTGTCTCCGATCCCACTTTTTAAGAAAGCGACCTTTGTATTCATCGGAGAGGGAACCGAGCCCCTGAAAGCAGCCTTTGTATCCATCGGGGGGGAAGCTAATCCCCGAAAGTCGTATTTGTTTCCGTCGGTGGGGGAGAACTCTAATCTCCCTCTCGTGGCTTCCACAATGCTAAGTCAAAGTCCAAAGATAAAGCAAATATGTACAGAAAGGCAAGACCCTCCTCGCGCGTTGGCCGCGACGTCACGGAAGCGGTGGGACGCTATTGGATGCGGAGGTGGCGGAGGGATATCTCATTCCCTTTGAGGGGCATTTGCCGCTACCCTCTTGACCTGTAACCGACTATAGTATACAACACGGGCACTTCACACCATCGTACGTGGTCTCCGAGGAGGATATAAACGAACATATGCAGATGAATGAACCGTACTTAATCCAATTAATCAAAGAATCAAAGTTTTCAGGAACCCGCCGTTATTCTGGCTTTCGGCGGGTTCCTGGAAACTTTGATTCTTTGGTTAATTGCTCTAATTAATTAATTAGAGCAATATTGACGGTGCGAGACGCGATTCAGTCGGCATTTCTCTCTCGGTACTTCGGGCGCGTGGAGGAAAGGTGGAGCGACTTCGCCTTCACGACCGGGATGATCATTCCGGAATGACCAGTGACGTCATGGGCATCGCGCGCAGAATTTCAAATATAGGGTGGTCCAATTCACCATGCTCGATCTAAAATGGACCCTAAAAATCGACGCCTGCACGTAGCAATGTAAACTTCTCGTCAAAGGTGTATTTCACACATCGGTTTTTTCTTGTAAAATTACAAAGCGTAGTTCTCTTTCTGTGAAAAATAAGGCCAAGAAACTTGCCAAGGTCTACGGCGGGCAGCGACGCGGACGACAGGGGTTCAGTAGCGGGTTGTGTTTGACGTTCGTTTTGATAGATGGCGTCGGAAGCAGCGTCCAAGGTGCAGCCGACCAGCGAAAGAAAGCAGACGACACGCAAACGAATCCGTTGGCAGCAAAAGCACCACCGTTATGCAGACGCGCTTTTTTTTTTACTCTAAGTTTAGCTTTTATTGTCCGCATTTACCTTTTTAACCGAAGGTACATTTCAAAAATATTATGTTCATTTTAATAAACCACGGTGGTCGCGAGCTGTCGCAATAAGGAGGTAGCGCCATCTGTCAATACGAACACCAAACACACACCGCTACTGAACCCCTATCGTCTGCGTCGCTGCCCGCCGTAGACCCTGGCAAGTCACTTGGCCAAGTTTTGCAGAAAGAGAACTACGCTTTGTAATTTTTCAAGAAACCGACTTGTGAAATACCCCTTTGACGAAAAGTTTAGATTGCTACATGCAGGCGTCGATATTTACGGTCCATTTTAGATCGAGCCTGGTGACTTGGACCACCCTATACATCTATCGCCGTCAATATTGCTCTTTAAAAGTTTTTTTTTTCGCGTAAAATTTGTTTTTTTGACACGCCGTGTCTCAACCAGACTGCGTAAAAAAAAAAAAAGATAGGGGCTTTTTATGCAGTTATTAAATGCTGCACTGTTCTGTTTAACAAAAACCATTAATTAGCAAGGATGACGCTTATTTGCAAATTGAACTGACCTGCATCTTGCCAAGAAGATGCCTCAACAGACAGGCTATGCCAGTTTAACCTTGAATGCGAAAATGTTCACTTGGGTACGCGCTATTTTTGGCCAGCTTCAACCTGATTCTTCGCCTACATTACTGTGGGTTAGGAAAACAAGCGTTGTGATTGCCGGTCGGTGTTTCAGCTTGTTCTAGAAACTTCCGTAAGATTTTCAAAATGTGATTTCTTTTGGCTCATTTGCGTCGTCCTCATATGTGTTGTGAAACCTATTTCGCAAACCAGATTGCAGAATATATATGGCGACGATGTGTGCATTCCATGATTTTATGCACTGTAATTAATGCCTTAGTTCAAGTGCACAACTACCATTCAACTTTGCGTTGTACAAATCACGGGCATTTCAGGCGGCCTACCACACTTCCTAGCAACTTTTCGATTCAGGTAAAATATATGCGCCTAAGCCCTGAGGTAAACAAATGGATGTTGACTCGTATAAACGCGACGTTTTGTATTTCAATATAGGCATTTTTTACTGTTGCGTCGAAATTAAATAAAGCAATACTGATGTTCTGTAGGGTGTCACAAAAGAAAATTTACACGGTCTTTTTTACCGCAAAAATAAACTAGGCATCGCCGAACGCTTATTCTCCGCCCAAAGGTAGAGCTAGAGGTCACAACCAGTTGCCAAAGTTTCAGCCCGATCCGATGACTTAATCAAACGTTATAAGTGATTTTCTGAAAAATTTTATGGAAAAATGGAGCCCATTTTTGCCCGTTTTCGGTTTCTGGTGCCATAGAGCCCCATGTGTTCGAAAACTCCGTCGACCGCCATTTTCCCATTGAAATTTTCAGAAAATCACGTATAACTTTTGATTAAGTTATCGGATCGGGCTGAAACTTTGGCATCTGGTTGTGACCTCTAGCTCTACCTTTGGGCGCAGAATGAGCGTTCGGCGGTGCCTAGTTTATTTTTGCGGTAAAAAAGACCGTGTAAATTTTCTTTTGTGACACCCTGTACTTAAAAAGAAAAATGTATTGTACTAGAGGTTAAAAAATGTACATACTACTCGTTTCACGGCGGAAATGGAGACCACCGCCTAAACAACGCGGAAAATATATTCCCACTTTAGCGGTCCAAACCGGTTCGAACCGTTATTTTTGCTCCCCTGAACTGAACTGGAAGCAGTAACCCGAACCGAACCTGCCGAACCGATAAAAATTTAGGTTCGATACTCTAATTCTACCTAAACATCACGTTTCTACTTCACGTCTTGTCCGTCCTTATGTTTTATGTTCTTCCCATTACTTATATCACGTTTCTGCTCTTTGAGAGAGAGAGAGAGAGAGAGAGAAGTGGTAAAAAGAAGGGAAGCCTGGAACTTATTGTGCTCTTTGAAATGGCAATGATGTTGTGCTTCAACATAAGAGAGTTTTAGTAGACAGTTCTGCATGACTCCGATAACGATACCCGATACTCCGCCACCGCCTCCCTTGCGCATGCATAGTATCGTTATCGGGGCTATCGGAGGTATCGGAACGATCTACTAAAACTCTCTATAGTTTCGGTTGCGATCCTAACTAAAACAAAATATCGTGTGGTTTCAGCACGGTTTGCCGGTGGCGATCAAAAAATAATAATTTGTTTTAAATGTTAAAATTTATGACTGCATGCTTAATTGTCCAGTCAATACAGCATGTCACGGGAGGAAACCTGGAGGTCTCGACGCCAAAACGTCTCAAACTGGCGCCATTTTACTCTATTTAGCCAGGTTTAGCGGGTTCAGAACGTTCTGGTGGCAACACTGTGCACACAATTGTTTTGTGTATTTGTTGTAGTCTCAAGTTTGGGGCGAGTCGATTTTTCGGGGCGTCCTAAAACCTCCTCTTCGTCATCGTAAACATCTAAAAGTGCCAGGGACCGGGTGTCTAGTCTTCAGATAGTCAAAGAGCAAGAAAAAAAAGAAGTTAAACGGCCTTCCCGGTTTCTCCGAGCGTCGCACTGTCGTCCGACGAGACGGCGCCGCGTCATGTAAAAAAGGTGAGATTCTTCTTTGAAGGCTCCGATCGGTGTCATGTAAGACGCCGCGACTTCTTCGTTCCGAGCCTACCTGACGTTTCCGACCTCGAGACTAGCTTTCCGGAAAGCCGCGGTTTTGTAATACGCACTATGACATTTCTTTGTTTTGTTAGGGCGCGGTGACGTCAACTTGTTGCCGACAGATTTCGAAGTAAGTCGAACGGACTCTCAGGCGCGTGGGGGTCGAAAATGCAACTGCAGCCGAGAAAGTCTTCCGCCGTTGTGTAACGGAAATTTCGCAGTGAGCGAAATTCGTCAGCGGCGTGCGGTTTGGAACCCCTTCGGTGTGGCGACTGCGGACTCGGTTCTTTGTTCGCAAAGGCTTCTTTCTGACTTGACAATTTCGGTGGCGCGCTTCGCGATGTCCTGCGCAGGAGTTTCTGCTGCGGCGGCACCTGTGACCACTCGCGTTCTCGGTGACAGCTCAAGGCGTGCGGCGGAGGACTTATTCGACGGCGATTTGAGTGCCGGTAAGCTGGTTTAGTTCCGTATCAACGTCGCTTTCCTTTTTTGTTTTGTGTCCTACGAGACTGGACCGCCGGTCGTGACTTCGCTCGGTTTGTTTGCGCCGTCTTTCCGTTTTTTCACGTGACGAGACAGTCGACGAGATACAAAAACATAAACGGAGGCGCGATCTCGTTTGTTTATCGGACTTGCCCCTTTTGTCTTTTTTGTACTTGTTTTCGACGGCGGCTGTTGACCTGATAAGGCGGTTCGGAATGCTTTAGAGGCGCGTGGTAACAGACTGCGTGTGTGTCTTGACTACAAAAAAGAGCGAAAGGGTTCGAAATTCCTGCTTACATGCTACATCACTTATCTTTCTCTCTCTCTTTCTCTCGGCGTTACGAGCGAGGGCATAATCTCAAGTTGAAGTGCGGGTACTGTGCACAAGGGCTTGGAGAGAAAGAAAAGCAGCGGACGTCTATCACAGGTCAGGGCACCTAAACGGAGAGGGGTCTTTATAAAGAAAAATAAATTCAGCCGCCCGATGCGGTCTTCTCTAACCATCCCTCTCCAATATATATATATATATATAGATATTGAGGGAGTTAGGAGACTGACAAACTGGTTAGAAGGCACGGAGTGTGGAGACACGAGCAATCTGTCTTTAAAAAGGCCCACTTCAGTATGTTCTATCGGGTGCTGCGTCATCTGTCTTAGCGACTTGTGTCAAAGCCATGACAAGTTCCAAATTATCATTTTGCACGGTGTTCATATTATTATTAATGGTCGCACAATGTTCCCCATTACATCGAATTGAAGGTGTTCAGGTTCTGAGAACAAAAACTTAGTTAACTTTTACACCAGAGGCTAAGATTGGAACGTGCCCAACGCTCTTTCTGGTTTTATGCGGTACTGCTTTAAGAGTAGTACATCTGAACTTTCCAGTTTAGAAGGATCTCCAAAGGTTGAGTGCTTGATGGAATTCTTTCGAGTTAGCTTTATGTTCTGTGTCTAAGGAAGCGATGGGAGAGCACGTGCCACAAGGAAGCAGGAAATGATTATGATGCCTAGTACAAGAAAGATTCTCTTGGAGAGAGGCCAAGAGAAAGGGAGCCATTCTTCTTACTGCAGGAAAACTGCCTGAAATTTCTGGAGCTAATCATTCTTGTACTAAATGCTCAGATATGTTTCAAGAGGTCATTTTATTGTGTGACATACTTGCATGAGGTTTTAATTGAAACATTGCGAAAGTTTTTAAGTTCCTCTTGTCCTTGCGCAGTTTTCGTGAGACAGTCGATGAAAGAGAACTTTTGTGTACACAATAGTTTAGTCTCAGTTCTAGGAAAGCAAAATGACAGAGAGCAGAGGCACATTATCAGAGAGCCACAATCAAATTGCACTCTCCTGAAACTGTTACTCTGGCATTGAGGAAGTTGCAAAACAATCTAGGCTTTGCAATGCCTTCTATCGCCTTAATCACTGTCCAAACTTTCTCTGCTTTTTACGCAGGTTGATGGGTGATAATTCCAACGTAGCGATGCTAAAAGACTTTAACGTCCTGCCTCTAACCTATTTCTTCACCCTAAGTGACGCAAGTCCTCTTGGGTATATAGAGTGCCGATGGACCTGAGCTTGTTCTATATCTGTGATAGCTAGCGTTTGCCACAGTTGCAGTCCAACCGCAAAATCCTCATCTTTTTTGTCAGTAGCCTGTAGTTATCAAATTCAAAAGACCAGTACTCCAAGTTAGACATTGGCCTAGTATATGACATTTTTGTTACATTAAAGTTAGCAATAATAGTTTTTACTTAGCTGATTTGGTGTCAACCAGAAAGAATGGGTCCAAACTTTAGAAGTCAATTTTACATTATGTATCATCAACAGGTGAGTTGGCAGTTCTATAAGAAATGCTTTAGCCATTACGGTTTTTCACACTGTGTTGGGAATAATGTGCTAAGCATTAGCAGTTTAACAATCCATCTGTGATATCAGCTCTCAAGAGCAAGGGCACACAATTTGTGTCTGTGGTTGAATGCTCAAGGAAGTATAAATTCTACACTGTGCAACACTATTAACACTAACAGAACATCTGCACTTGTTTGCATTTTACTTCGAAAATGTATAGGCAGGTGCCAATTTTTACTGCTGAGGTTAGTGCCCAAAAATGATAACTTCCCTCCATACTAGTACCGAAAAATCCAAAGAGATGCCCCACCCCTGAAAGAGAACCCACCTCAGCTTTTGGCACGAATTTCTTTATTTTCAAAACCTCCGAAAGATAGCTCGCTTGTCTAGCGCGTAGCCAGGATTTTGTTTCCAAGGGATGGGGGGGGGGGGGGGGGGGGGGGTGCGTCGCTCATGACAAAATGCTGTAGGGGGGGGGGGGGGGGGTAGAGGAGGCCCCAGCAAAATGGAAGATTTTTGGGGGGGGGGGGGGGGCACGCCCCAGGGCCCCCCCCTCCTGGCTACGTACGTGCCTGTCACTTGGACTAACTGCAGGACCCTGGCCAATGGTGACCTTGGCAGAAATGGTGTTACTTAGCCACGGCAGGAGATAAGCAAAATGTTGCTGACTGGAAAGGACGGTCCTTTTGAGTTCATTGCTCCTCCCTGTGATTACAAGTTTTGCAGGTCCCAAAATCTAAAACTAGCATTTTTTCAACTTTTTTTGATCACACACCGAAAGTTAGCCCGCTCCTTATTTTCACCTGATTTGCTTTCGATTTGAGGTGGCCTATTTCTCTGGATATTACGGTAGTTTGGATTTCAGTCTTTTGATTCTTGTAGAAAAGCAAATATTCTACAATCGCTTTTTTCTTGTAACAGCGTTGTACTGTGCACATTCTAGAACGTTGGGCGGCGATAACTGTATTTTCTGGACAGGAGTCTGCAAACTATACATATTTAAAAGCTGAAATTTCATGCAGTGCAGACTACCTAGTTATGCCTTAGTTATTTTACTGCATTAAAAGTATGTGTTATTATCATGCTAAAGTGTTATTGTGACTGTACAAGCCCATATGGCAGAAACTTACATAGCCATGGGTGTCCACAGAACTTCTTGTGGGGGGGGGTGCAGCTGCAACCTTTTCCAGACTCGCCAGAAATAGCTTTCATTTGTTCGTTTTTGTTCCCAAAAATAGTAGAATGCTTCCTTCAACACCTCAAGAAATTTTATTCGCCATAGAACAAAAAAAACAAAAAACAACAACAACAAAAAAAAGCAATTTAGTTGCCATCAGCGTCCGGAATTGCGCCTACGCAGGCTGCCACAGCCCACTGACAAAAAATCCACAGCCCAGCGCAGTCGGGCAACACTGACATACACTCTCAAAACCAGAGACGCCTGCTGTAAATCGCTTCGTTCGAGACTGCCGCTGGAAAGGTCTATAGCCATTTTTTTGTTTCCTGTCGTTCGCAGTCACTCAGGTTCCGTATCTGGTATGCAGGACGAAAAAATAATAAAACATTTTAGCCTGGATTATACAAGAAAATAGAGGTGAGGCAAAACAAGAATGTGTGAAAATCAAGCATTTTTGTAAACACCTTACAGTGGCGTGGAGATATCAAAATGATGCTTTACTGCATACCAGAAGTGATGACATTCAAGATGGCTGCGCCCTTGTGGAAAAAGTGTATAGCCGGTGACAGGTTAACGCTGTTCTGGGGAAGCTCCTCCCACCTCTTTCCACTTTAGCAGAGCAAACGTGTTCGCTCTGCTAAAGTAGAAAGAACTGGGAGGAGCTTCTCCTGAACTCTTCACTGACACTAGTACCTTTACGATATGACCACCGTAAAGGTACTACTATAACTGACCAGACCATATATTTCTCGGGTGTGTTTGTTACGGGCGTCCTATGCATATAAACATATAGCAAGCTTTGTAATATTATATTTGAATTTGCAGTCTTGAAGGCTTAGAAATTTGTTGAATTGAATGGCGCTTACAGCCCCAGAAACATGCGGTTTCGACACATCTTCTTTGGTTGTCAGAACGGCTGAAAAGCCCAAGAGTTTATCGAACTCTTCGAGTTTTGTTCCAGTCTTGCAAACAATAGACTGCAAGCCATGCAGTGGAGCTCATCTAGAGGGAAGTTGTTTCGTTTCGCTGTCATTCTATGGTCCACATTGTAAGATTCTTTGAGGAATGTCTGAGATGGAGAAAAGTCTCTGCACCTCTCAAGGTCCCCAAAAACCCCAAACTGTCGTTGGGGAGGGTACAAACCGTGCATCGCGATGCCGCCATTGCAGAGTGCTCCCATCCGCTGTCTTGGCTGGGCATTGCGTGGGCGCCGATGGAGACCGCCAGCCTGCTGTTGCGCACCCAGTGGGGTCTGCTGGAGACGCTGAACGAGCGGGTGGAGGGGGCCGCTGAGCGGGGGGAAGCCATGCTGGTGTTGTTGAACCAGCTGCTGTTCCTGATGCTGTGCGACCGCTGGTTCTGTCCCGGGGACCGGCTGACGGGCCTCTACACGCTGCTGTTCTACATCATCCTCTGCTACCTGTGCCACTACGTGGGGAACCTGCTCAACGTCCGGGGCTACAGCCCCTACGTCCATGTCTCTGACCAGTCCAAGATACGCCACTTGGCCATGAGCGTTACCAAGGTGAGGGGGGTGGGAGGGGCACTCATACTGTTGTGTCTAGGACGGAAAAGAAAGGGTTAAAGTCTTTAGGCTGAAGCACGCAAAAGGTCAGTCGTGCTAAGGAGACAGCGTTAGGGAAATCCAGCTGCAGGCTAAGATCTCCGAGTGGCCTCAGTTAATCCTCAATTTCTTACTTGGACATCCTTCAATCTCTTTCTCAGTGGTCTGGGATGTAAGACCGTAACATTAAACTTTTTAGCTGCGCCAAATTTTTAAATAAAGGGGGGAAAAAGTGTTATGAATGTGGTTTTCACTGCGTGTTTCATGGCTTGGCAGGCATCTGACAGGAATATAACCCTTTTTATTATCAAACTAATTACCTAAAATTCATTATTTAACTTTTAAAAATTGTAATTAGGATGTATGTTTGTATTACAAAGCTTGAGACGGTCGTATGCCAAGACTATATTATTTTGCAGAATTTACGTATCCAGCCCCTGTTCCGAGATATCTGCCCCTGAATTTTCTACTTAATCCCACCTTTTATCCGCTCAATCTGGCAAACCTGCAAAATTAAGCACTATTAGCTTCAAGTGGGATTGATTGGAGCACTGCGATATCTCGATGGTGACTTAGTGACAAGTATCGTTTGATGAAGTCAGGTATTTTCTCTGCTTTGCTTTGCTGCTTTAGTGTGTAGCAGCAGAAACTGTTTGATAAGTGTATTTTGTTTTTGCTATTACGCAAAATGTGCGTAAAACAAAACCTAAAAACAAATCTGAATATGGCAAGTGAAACAGTCGAATGTTATGTGTAAGGTACGATGGAATCCTATGATCGCTTCATGGCCGCCAACACCGCTTGGATACTTCGCTGTGGAGACCAACAATCGTACCTCTACATGCTCTTCGTGCACTTCCTGGCTTCAAGCAGCAGACGAAAGGAAATAAGTAATCAAAACTACAATTCTCGGTGAAGTCCGCTAGATTCACAGATTCCAGAAGCAATGCCAACAATCCCAACAACTTCAGTTGTTTCTCAAGTCGGTGGGAAGACCTAGCAAGGTGGGTTGGAAGGCTTAGCATGGTGCTCGACACTCGCCGCCTACGACCAGCAGCCTCATTGAAGGAACGCTGACAGGGTATTTATGCTTGCCTAGGTTTTTATTCATACATGACATATGAGAGCCCAACTACCCAGAACACAATCTGCGGCTCGAAATTAGTTTTCTCTCTGTCCCAAAACCGCCGATAGAGAACTGGCCGGTTTGAGTTCGGGGCGCTCACTCTTCTCCGCGGTCACATGAGTTTTCTATGGTTTAGACACAACCCCCAAAGATCATCAGTCGTGAGTCGTCCGAGGCCCACACTCAATGCTAGAAATGGACAAAAAATATGATACCCATTTTTTGTGGCTTCTATATAATTGCAAATACGTTGATAGGAAAAAAAAAAAAGAAAAAGAAAGTTGCACAGCGACCTGATTTTTTATATCTTTCTCTATATTTCTTCTTCCTCCCCAGTCCAGTTTCAGTTTCAAGCAGCTGCCTTTCTTGACCTTACTAAAATTTTGGGTAGTGTCAGTGTTCTTTTAAATAAATATGTTCATGTGACTTCCCCATTTTTTAGTGGACTTGTATTGTGTAAGCGAGTCTTTATCTCTTTCTTGATCCCACACTTGTCAATTCTATTTGTTACTTTCTTTGATGTTAAGCTCAAATAAACACGCTATAGATTACCCTCGCATCATGTGGTACGTACACTTTATGTTTTTGTGTGACTCCCTAAAATTAAATGGGCAAACCACAAAGAAAAAAAAGAAAAAGGTGATCAAAATGCCAAGTGTAACGCCTGGTCGGCCATCGTCGCGATTGGTTTCTATTTTGTCTGCCTGCCTGTTTCCGACAGGCCGAGAAAAAGAAAACTCACTCCGGAAATCATGCCATCGGAGAATCAACCTGTTTGGTCACTTGACAAGCCTCTGAAGCCATGACGATGACTGATTTGGTCGTTGTCAGCACGATAACATGAAACTGGGTCCTGTTCTGTAGGTCATGATGCCACTGTTGTCGCGCTGCTTGTGCTTAATTTTGACGGGAAGTACAGCGGAAGAATCGGGTCATATACAAACCCCAAATCTCGTTCAAATTAACCAGTTGGGCATGAATTGTGAACGATACACCTCAACCTACATACTACCAACGAAGTGCAGAAGTGGTCACGTGATACTTGTTAGTGCATCACGACAAGGAGCTGCCAGGTGGCACCACTCCTTCTTCTCAAGGCTAATAGCCGATCTTTGCTACATTAGCCAGATAAAAGTGCAAAATTCGGGGACGAGTACAGTCGCTGACCGATTTTCCGGGCTCTGAGGAAACCCCGAAGATGTCCGAATAATCAAAACGGTTTGAAAAATCGGGGATGGAACTGCCGCCAGTTGTGCCGCTGTGCGCCTAGTGACTTTTCATGCACCACACTGATACAAAAGTGTAAATAAGAACAAAATTGCGCCAAGGTGCGCCCAAACTGAAATTATAAACGAGCCTCGTTGAAATTAGCCGTCTCGCAGTTTCTGTTGGCGACATTGTTACCGGATCTTCTGGCCCAAATGGGACGCCAGTGGATTTGAATCTAAAAACCTGTATCTGAAGGCTGCTGCCTCCAACGTTAGCTGCCGTTGCTGCATGCTCACCATTCTTTTCTGAAGTCCTGGAGTCGCTTCATCTGGAAGATCTGAGTAGTGGAGCAAATTTGTACCGCGGCCCCATGCAGAAAACATGGGAAAAAAAACAACCAAGTAAGCTGTGAGGCGTATGACGGAGCAAGAAATGAGCTGCCAGATCGTGGTTGCACTTTGAAGCGATTGTGCAGTGATGTCACGAAAGTACCTTTGAACCTTTGACAGCAGACTTGCTGCAAACTGTGAAGAAGTCTCATAAAGTTTAGACAGAAAGACTTAAGGTCCAAAAGCAAGACGTCAAGAGGCATAAGAGGAAGAACAGTGATGCGAGGGAAGTGAGTACGAAGAGAGCTCGTCTTCGATAAGAAGAGTAGTACAATTTGAACAGCGCATCTGTCCGCGGACTATGCTTGAGCACGCGCAATCAATAGTTAAATCAAGACTGAAAAAGAAAAAAAAAGAGATGGAGAACATTGAGTCTGGACAAGCGCTATCAGCGGATGCTAGTGCGGTACTGACTCAGAATCTAGAAAAACGTGTCTTCGTCAGCAATTGATAAAGTCTCAATAGATTTATATGTACCAGGGCATTTATTATCTTATTCTAGTCTCTGAAGAATGAAAGAGCATTTTTGTACCTGCATTTTGTTTTTCGGTGCACCTTACTAGTCAATGCTGAGCAATGAAAGCTATTTGTACCAGTTTATATTTACCTCTTTACAAGTTGGTTTTATCACGTGTCACACTGTCATGCGCAGTTTTGCTTCATATGTTTTGTGTACTTAATTTTGTGAAAAATATTTGCAGCTAAAAAGTTTGTTGAGGCTATTGTTAAGTTTGCATGGAGTTACCTGCATGCCATATTTTTAGTTTTGAAAACCAGCCGACATTTAGCCTCTATTTTAATATTCTTAAATCTCGTGTACTGCTCCCAACTTGCTGCAAGACCTCGTTTTTGCTGCTCCCAGCCTGCTCCAAACTATAGCTTTTTCTGCTTCCATGGTTGCTCCAAAGCTGCTTTGCCCAGTTCCATCCCTGAAAAATCGATTTCAGCCAAAATATCAAATTTCCGCGCATATTTCGTTGTGTATTGGCCACTTTCCTCTTGCTCAATGTCAATATTAAGTTCTCGTGCAACTTCCGCTTTATATTTTTCACTTTTTACTTGTTTGTTGATCTGGTTGATCACAGTGCTGCGCTTTGTTGGCACAAACTGCGAAGCTGAAGTTGGCGTCACTGTTTGGAGACAACGTTTAGTCTACCAAGCTCGCTTCAATACTAATCCTATCGGCAGAAAACCTTTGTGCTCAAGCAACACAAGAACGGCAGACGGCCGCTCTCCTCAAGGTTGCACTAAAAAAACACGGACCACAGGAAGAGCCGGAAGAATGGGCAGACCGCGGCCATGTTGGCTATAGCGGAACCAGAAAACCCAACTATAGTCTCAACCCAGCTTGTTTATTTCATAGGACGTGGTATCGAGGCTACAGGGCAAAATCAAAACAACCAAAATGGCGGTGACTAAGCTCTCTGCGCTATTGCGGCGGCTTTCACGCGATAGCGCAAAAGTCATGCAAATTATGTCCGAAATATTGAGCAATAAGTTTTATGGTGTCCGAAATTTCGGTCAAAATTATACATTAACGGTTTCTGCGAAAACGTCCAAATAATCAAACTTGTCCGAAAAACCGGTCGGCAACTGTATTGCGGAACACGTGTTGGTAACGCAAATTCTACTAAATGGAACAGTCTTGGCATACGACCGCCTCATAGCTTGTAATAAAAACAAACATATACTGTAAACGACTAAATTTTTGCGGGAACATAATTTTCGCGAATTTCGTGAATAGCCTTCAGTTCGCAAAAAATACGTCCCGCGAACAATTCGGGCTATATGTGAACACTACGGAAGCTACACTCGATTCGCGAAAATTAGAACCCGCAAATAATTTCACACTTCAGCTTTTGTGCGATTCGCGAAAATTTGAGCCTGCGAAAATTAAGTCGTTTACAGTATCCTTATTCCAGTAATCCAAAATTAATTAATTTACTTTAGTTAACTAGTCTGAAAATAGTGATGGTTATATTCCCATCTCATGTTTGCCGAGCCATATAAACCTGCAGCGGAAACTGCGTTCATAAGATGTTTCCCCCTTTGTTCAAAAATGTGGAGTACGGTAGCTAAAAAAAAAGCACCCAGTGTAAAGAAAAGACCGAAAAAGCTATTTACGGGGTATAATTTTTCGGAAGGAATTCCCAGTCTGTTGATTGGTTGTAGTACGTCGCACAGGTCTTTCCCAAAAACTTCATTATGTGAAATGGCCTTAAGAAGTTGTTTCAAGAATTTTTTTACTTATTTATGTGTGAAGTATCCTCTTATGGCTGTCATTATGGCTTTATAGCTTCCTCTGCCACTATTCGCTTACTCAAGACCTTCCTCAATTTGTAAGAGCTGTCCAAGCTGTCCCTGGCAAAGTCTTGCAGTTTCCAACTCAGCTTCATAATGCTAATGGCAAATATGAGAACAATGGTGATGAGAGTATTTTATAAGCATCTTTATGTTCACTTCTGCTTTTGTCACCCATTTTTGCTGTTTTTTCCTGCTTGTCACTATGGCTCACCAACTAATCCAACTTCATGCTTTGTACTAGTTTATGTTGATACAGATTTACATCACAGGTCTTACATACTCGCATGACCCTATTTTTATGGCTCTCATCGTCTATGTACACTTTTGGGACATATGAAGGTAGACAGGGGTTCATTATTGTTTTGCATGCATGCAGTGCAACAGCATTCCGAAAAAGTTATTCTGTACAGTGGCATGCTGCTGCTCAGCCCAGTTTCCACTATGAAAGCTTGCAGCAGCAGTGCAGAGCTGCTGCTTCATGGCATTGCCTGCATGGCAGGGAGGAGCAGGCCCATTCGTCGTAGTTGAATTGGTCAAAGCGAACATCTCGTCCCAGGTGAACCCATAGGAGGAAAAAGTAATAGACATCACCTTTTTTGGTCTTTAAAATTCTCGTCACATTTATTTTCTTGTTTACAGCTTGTCAGCATGACAGGATTTAATTTAATTGTAATTGCAAGGTTGGTCTTTTGTGTTTTTGTCTTGTGGCATCTTTTTGTTAATTGCTGGCTCTGGCAAAAAATTAACATCTTGACAAAAGTCCTAACAGTATTTTAAAGGTGCATGTTTGTCACCGCATTTTCGGACTGCCGTATGGCTGAATGGTGTGCAATCAAGTGAAGTCCACCAAGGACCAGCATGGTGCACAATGCTTTTGTAAGTTACTCAAAAGCAATCGGGTTTATGAAAGATGTTTGCATATCTGGATACCAACAGATTTCCGGATTTTCCACTGTACATTCAGGCCTACATGCACAGCCTGCATTGATAATGCTGTTGTTTGATTTTGAATTTGCAGTAAACTCATCACCAGTGGTAATCTGTTTCCTCAAGCACGGGTCCTGGGGTGCTCTTTTGTCAGGCTGTCCTGACAAAGAATTGCTTTGTCAGGCTGTTTACTGGAAACTTGGCATGCTAGGATTTCAGGCATGTTAAAAAACCGGCAAGGATTTTCCAATTTTGTTAGGTGTATATCGCATTTACACTATTGTAAGTCGACCCCCAGCCCCCCCCCCCCCCCCCCCCCTCCCCCCCACACTGCTCATCAAGAAAAAAAAAAACAAAAAGCTTTACATGCACATTTTACTGCGAGGACGTGAGAACGGCAAAGTATCTGTTTTAGGATGCCGAGCCTCCAACACGTGATCGATGCCTTCTGGCGTGCTTTGGCTGCACATGCACGCGCCAGGTGCATGAGATGCCCAGGCGTTATCGAAACTAGGAAGTTCACGCTGGAGGCGGGACAACTGAAGCAGCTCCCTGTCATTCTCACTCCATCCGCGACTAGGCTACAACTTGTCCGCACTGGTGATGTCAGTCCCGTCATCATCACTGCCACGTTCTCGAGGCACGTCGTCGGCGTGGTCTAACGAAATCTCACACTTCGCAAATGATCAACCGCATCTTCTGCGCTTGCTCAGCGATCGCGTTGGACGTCACGGGTAGGGACCGATTGCACACTTTGGCGTTGTATGTTCCAAGCCTGACCTCCAACTCCGGAAGGCATCCCCACCTATACAGACTTTGGACTGCTGGACTGCGGAAGCCTCTTTGTTTGCCGTCACATCCCGCATCACTGCAGACTCTACTGGAGCATCACCCGCTCCGATGGGTCGAACTTGCGTCCACCAGCGCACTTGGTTGCTTCTGAGTGAAGAATGGCCATAAACGAGCACCGAAAACCTAAAGTGCCCGGATGAAGCTTGTCAACACAAAATAAACATAGTTAGCGCTCCAGCATGATCTCGACACTCGATCAACTAGAGATACAGTGCCTCTAGATCAAACAATGTGCGACCGTGAATCGCGCGAAACACTGCGGAGGGAAGCAGCGGGGTGAGTGAGCCGTGAGGCTGTTCCAGCGGCCTCTGGAGTTGACAGAGTGACTCATACAAGAAGTGCCGCCACTCCCCGGGAGTCTGGCGTGCCGTGCGCTGTTCACCGCCATATATTCGGGTTAATTTGCGAATCGCTATCAATAATACTCATTCGCGAAAATAAAACAATAATTAATTTGTGAAATGATCGCACAGAATAGTGCAGTGCTAGAGGTACAATTGGCTGACCTCGTAACAAGCCGAGGTGTTTATGATATCGCGATTGTTACGTTTTTGCCGGCGGCGTAATGCTTTGGTTTGATTATAAGTCGACCCCCCCACTTCAGATTTTCAAAAATTGAAAAAAGGGTCGACCTACATTCGTGTAAATATGGTATTTGCTTTGAAATTAACAGTTATACTGACACAGATAATGTAAACTCTATCGGAAGTGTAAACATTGCCGATGCTGTCATTTTTGCCAGCAGTCAAAATTTGCATACTCTGGAAATGTCACTCACACCAGATCCTATCATTTGAAATTGCATAGTGGCATACATAACCAGTTCAGATCAATAATTCATCAATGTTAATTTAAAGAACAATGAAAAACTCATCTTTACCAAGTAAAAATGTCTGACAAAGTGGATGAGTGACTGGTTATCTGCTGCTACGACTTTGCTGTGTACCACACAGCATATAAAGATTTGGCTTCATGTAGCAAATGAAGAAAACTAAATATGTACAAGCAAGCTCCAAAACAGAGAATGATCAACCCTACTTACTTGGTAGACATGGTTTGGTCTATTTAGCTTTGTGAAACTGCCAACATCAACAAAAAGAACAAAAATAAAATTGATTGCTCAGCTTGACTGGTGGTTGAGGCCTTCGGGGACCCCAAAGGGTTCGTGGACCCTCATTTGAGAGCCACTGCATTAGGACCAGTGTGTCGAACCGAAAAAAATACGGGTTCGGTTACGGTTCAGGTTCAGGTAAATTTATTTTGTTCCGGTTCAGTTCCGGTTCGATTAATTCGATCCGCGAACCGGTTCGGGGCGCTGAACCGGTTCGCGAAATGGTTCGGAAATTATAAATGACAAATTGCAACATCAAAATAAATTACAAATAAAACATCTGAAATTAGCACATACGAAACTGGATACATCGTAGTGTAAGGCTCAGGGATTTCTACCAGGAATGGTTTCTTTATGTGCACTCAAAGGTTACCTCACCGACGTTTACGCATTCGGACTTCATCTAATTGGGTCCGACGCAGTAGCTGTAAAATCCGCGACCTCCTTACAAGCCCACTTACAAGTAGAACTCGCTAACTATCTCGCCACCTCGGCGTGTAAGCAATTGAAGGAACAGTGGGGAGAAAATACAGTTTTCTTTATTTGAGCTAGCCTTCGGTAACTCAAATTATACCCTTAAAGAAGTTTTCATTAAACAAGATACGGAATATGAAAAACACTTCACCGAACGCAACGCCAGAAGGACGTAATAGGATAAATATTAAAATTGAGGAGTTCGCTGTCTCACAAATATGTTAGCTTCTAAGTGCCTATACGAAACCGGATGCATTACTATGAAACTCCACAGCCTTTTCTTTTCTCATTCCGATGGAAGCAAGCTTCAAGAACTCGCGCGTTCTAGAAACGCGTCATGAAATGAGCACACAGCAGCATTTAGGATTTACGAGATTGTAGAAAAATAAAATCCCGTGACGAGATTTTTTTTTTTTTTTTGCACAGCCTTTTAATTCTCTTTCTTCCGTGCAAGCCGCGACAAGCGCAATACTGGTTCCTATGTCAAGATTCATGGATGCAGCGTTTATATTCCTAAGACTGAGTGGAGAAGAAAAATATGTAAGCGAGGTGTGTGTCAGTTGACGGCACTTAAAAAACAAATGGCATTGATAGCACATTCATTGTCAACAGTGCGTGGTCGAACCGTTTTGACATGAGCCGGTAACCGTTATTTTTTTTCCGGTTCAGTTCCGGTTCGGGTTCATCGCGATAACAATATAACGGTTCGGGTTTGGGTTCAGTTCCGGAGAAAATACCGGTTCGGTTCCGGTTCGACACCCTGATTAGGACATAACAGAGCGCGGTAACCTTGACAAGTTTCTAACGCTGTCAGTGCTAGGTGAGTACAAGAGTATGAAGGGACCTTGCTCATCTGCCCTCCTTTTCTGTCTTCTTAGATGGTACTGGACCTGACAAAGGGAGTGACGGTCGTCATCACGGTGGTCTTCATGCTGCTTGTCCTTGGCCTCGAGCAAGGCCTGGAACACTTTAGCCCCACCTGGACGTATGTCCTGCTCACAGCCCTCTACTTCTGCCTCACGGAGCGCATCTGCCAGGACAAGGTCCCCATGGTGCTCTCCTGGCTCCATCTGGAGTTCCTGGAGAACCTCGAAACCCTGTGGGCCCCCGTGCTCTGCAAGCTGGCCACCTCGCTCAGCTCGCTGCTGATGATAGTGGCCGTGTCCTTCTGGTGCAGTGGCAAGGGGGGCTGGGGTCTCTGCCTGCTGGCAAGCTACATCAATGTCTACCTAGGCCTCAAGGCAATGGACAGACACCTCAAGGTCCTTCTTCAGGAGAGGGGCCAACTTGGCAGGTTTCGGTTTGCGACCAAGCAGGAGCTTGCCAACTTTGACGACGTCTGCTCGGTGTGTCTGCAGAGGATGACTCTGGCCAGGGTCACTCCCTGCCGGCACCTGTTCCACGGCGACTGCCTGCGGAGAAGCCTCAAGGACAGGAGCACCTGTCCCATGTGCAAGCAGGACCTCTGGTGCTGACTGCTGTTGTGGGTGCCACTTTTTGCTTTGTGGTGTGCATCTCCGGTGGGAAGCCAGGGTTGTCTGGTGACCATGGGATCTTAACGTGGACTGTCGGAGGGGGGACAAACATTGTCGGTGCCGGTCAGTGTGGCAATGCAATAATTTGGCCCCCTTGTGTCTTACTGCTTTCAAAGCCACCGTTTTAGTTGCTGCATGGTCTTCTCTTGCAAGTTGAAACAGTCTTGAACTTTGGCAGTGCCCTTCTTCTGTCGACTGTGGTGCGAGAGAGGAGCATTGCTGACGGTGCCCTTATGGTGCAGCAGTGATTCAGGTTCCCACGATCCATTTTATGGTTGCTATTTTCGTACCTGGCAGGTATATTTTATTGAGTCAGAAAGATTAATGTGCACATGCTGCAGATGGTAGAACAACCAAGGAACTGTGTTGACAAAGGTTTAGACATTGTGTGTGTCTCTCTACTTTTATGGCAGCTGCCAAATTTCTTTTGTGCCGGTGTCTTTACGTCTAGCGCAGTGCTATCATTTCTGGCACTATTAATGCTGTGACAATACTGAGCCCGGTATTTCATGCACTTTGCATCGTCTGCTTTTCCTGAAAATTATTTATTTTAAAACTGGAATTACAGTGCCTAGAGAAAACTTGGCAGTCCATAAAACTGAAGTCAGGTGGGATTGTGACCGTGTTTCTATGGTACAGCCAACTTGACTAGGGCCCCCGGTGACATAGCTACATAACCTAGTAGAATCGCTATCACATTTTGTGTTTTTGTGCATTGAGGTTCTATTTTGCCCCATGTGAGCAGAGTTCTTAAATGCTAAAGCATTCATAACATGACCTGGCAATTGTTCAGTCTTTTTTCAGCATCTGCAATTTGATTGTGATGCTTTTCTATTGACCTTGTACCACTTAAGTGTACCAAACATTATATACCTTGTTTTAGTGGTAGGAGACAACGCTGTCCAAAGTATAGATGCAGGTGCATCATCCTGAGGAATCCTTGAGCTGCACAGATGCTGTTAAGGTCGATTCTTGATAATTCAAAACTTGTGGGGACAGGGAAATGCTTCTAACTAGGTGCACTCCGAACTTAAAAAAAAAAAAAGAAAGCAAAAAACACTGGAGCTGTTTTTTGTTTTTGGTGCTCACCGGGAGAAGTTAATTTTTGCGTGCCTCTGCTAACGGATACGTGCAGCATTTCGCTAACAAAGATTCAGAGTGTTAACTATGCTTTGCAAATCGCAAACCGTTATTGGGGGGCCTTCAGCAGTTTCTTCACCAAAAAATATATAAAATTGTAGTCCACGGTGTCGCAAGCAGTTTCTTTGTTGGCAGCAGTTGGCCACTCGGCACGGAAAGCGACATGATTGTTCCTAGGCCTAACCACTTGCATGATGTGCCTTCCCAAAAGACTACACACCACTGCATGTTTGTTACCATCAATTTATTCGATGGACAAAACATCTCGTAGGGCTGGGTCATGCCTCAAACCAAGCTTTGTTGGCCGTACGTGCTGCGCTCGCTTCCATAATTTTTGTGGGAACGACACCTCTATGCACGTGCCTGTAGCCATGCTGGCACTGCCTGGGCTTGGCCTGGCCCCTGAATCGGCTTGGCCGCCCAGAGACTTACTTGCGCACCGCGCTTGTTGCCCCTTTTCCGACTGTGCACATGGTTGGTAAAAGCGATAAAGTGTACATTGGTGCGATTTAAGCTGGGTCAGCATAATCTCAAAGCTTTTTTGCATGCTTTCGAGTTGCCGGACTTCTCGAGCATGTTATAAAACCCTTTGTAGCAACCAGTCCTAAAGGTTAAACTTCCAATTACCACACATTTTTTACCGTATACTCGTATGTGTAATTACCAGGACCACACCCCTGCTTTGAATGAACAGAAAATTGGAATATACCGACTATAATTTACTGAGAGTCGGGGGGGGGGGGGGGGGGGGGTATAAGCAAAGTTTTTTTTTAAACCTGTGCACTTGCACCACTACATTCCACAGCATTGTCTACTATCTGAACAGGGACTGCAAGAACATCATACTTGACAGCAGTTTTGCCTTTCGTATGGAAACTAGGGTCAGTGATGATCGAGATGACAATCATTATCTGCATAAAGCATTACTTAATATTTCCAGTTTGCAAACTCCCGTAGACACATGCTTGCAGAAGATGACCCATCCCCAATGTTCTCCACTAGTTCATTGACGAGCTACACTTCTTGCATGCTGCAGCAGCTCTGAACAGTTCTTGCAAGACACACCATAGGCGTGAAGGAAGTTGGTGACAGACGTTGAGGTGGAAGGGGGACTGTGTTTTGGAAGAGTTGGCCGTCTGTGTTGATCTATTTACGTTTACATATCTCATTATTTGCCTGGGTTCTCATTCTGCCCTTAGAACAAGAACATTAAAAAACAAACTAGAAATGGCTTAAGAAGTACAATCTGGTCCTATGTGAAACTGAAGCACTAGGCAAATGCACCTCAAAATGTCACGGGTCACATGGCGCAATGCAAGTCCGAGATCACTGGTGCAGAAATTGTGCGGCAGGCTGCAAGGTCATGATACCACAGAATTCTGTCTTGCCACATCGGCCGATTCGACGTGCACATGTCTGGTGCCTTAGTCATCGCATTATTTGCGCATCCTTTCGGTGGGATAAGCATAGACTATTATTTCTTGTTATTGATTAGCAATACTCAGTGTTACACCAGTGATCCCTGGATAGCGAGGCTATTTTTTTTAAACAAGCATTTGTAAAAACATTGGGCTTCATCCTACTTGTTTCGACTACTACTTTTCATGCATGTTGGCGAGAGTTTTCTTTGCCCAAAACGAGGCCCCCTCTTTTTCCTTGTATAGCATGGTTCGGCAGTTTACCATAACGTGCAGATAGCTCTTGGACACGCAGTTTTAACTACAATCAACTGATTGAAGAGCAACATCCAGATTTGTGAATGATTGCTGCAGAGTTCTAGCATCAATACAAACCTGTTAATTTATTGCTTCTGAAGCCCCATGCTACAATAGCTCTACATAGAAGTGCTACTACGTAGGACTTTGTGCAATAAATGAGTGAACATTAGCTACCTACTTGTGGGCTCTTTATTTACACCTGTGTTCACTATTGGTGGTGCCCTGCTCATGACTTCACAACCAGGGGTCCAGAATTATCCTTAATGGCCGTCATCTTGATAACTGATCCTCACTTGAAAATGTGAAGCCTAACAGTGTAAGCGAGGAGCATGCTGGAAGCTTGTAGTCGTCTTGGGATCAAGAGAAAGATCAAAAATGGCATTTTAGCATAATTCCTAATTTCATCCTATTCAAGACAAGGCAGGTTTTCGGCCAATAGACCTTTTGCTAAATTACCCAAGCATCGAGGAGAATGCTGGAAGTCTAAATAATAGAGTTATAATGTACGCTAGAGGTTCAACTGGCGCAGTGTGTCGAACCGAAAAAAATATGGGTTCGGTTACGGTTCAGGTTCAGGTAAATTTATTTTGTTCCGGTTCAGTTCTGGTTCGATTAATTCGATCCGCAAACCGGTTTGCGAACCGGTTCGGAAATTATAAGTGACAAATTGCAACATCAAAATAAATTACAAATAAAACATCTGAAATCAGCACATACGAAACGGGATACATCGTAGTGTAAGGCTCAGGGATTTCTACCAGGAATGGTTTCTTTATGTGCACTCAAAGGTTACCTCACCGACGTTTACGCATTCGGACTTCATCTAATTGGGTCCGACGCAGTAGCTGTAAAATCCGCGACCTCCTTACAAACCCACTTACAAGTAGAACTCGCTAACCATCCCGCCACCTCGGCGTGTAAGCAATTGAAGGAACAGTGGGGAGAAAATACAGCTTTCTTTATTTGAACTAGCCTTTTTTCATTAAACAAGATGCGGAATATGAAAAACACTTCACCGAACGCAACGCCAGAAGGACGTAATAGGATAAACATTAAAATAGAAGAGTTCGCTGTCTCACAAATATGTTAGCTTCTAAGTGCCTATACGAAACAGGATGCATTATTATCAAACTCCACAGCCTTTTCTTTTCTCATTCCGATGGAAGCAAGCTTCAAGAACTCGTGCGTTCTAGAAACGTGTTATGAAATGAGCACGCAGCAGCATTTAGGATTTACGAGATCGTAGAAAAATGAAATCCCGTGACGCGATTTTTTTTTTTTGCACAGCCTTTCAATTTTTTTTTTTCCATGCAAGCCGCGACCAGCGCAATACTGGTTCCTATGTCAAGATTCATGGATGCAGCGTTTATATTCCTAAGACTGAGTGGAGAAGAAAAATATGTAAGCGAGGTGTGTGTCAGTTGACGGCACTTAAAAAACAAATGGCATTGATAGCATATTCCTTGTCAACAGCGCGTGGCCAAACCGTTTTGACATGAGCCGGTAACCGTTATTTTTTTTCCGGTTCAGTTCCGGCTCGGGTTCATCGCGATAACAATATAACGGTTCGAGTTCGGGTTCAGTTCCGGAAAAAATACCGGTTCGGTTCCGGTTCGACACCCTGAACTGGCGCTAGTGTCTATGCGACTTTCGTGATGCTAATTGAAGCAGACAGCAAGCAGTCTACTTTTGCGGTGCTCCTGCGCATTCCTATGGGAAAACGTGGATCCATTTTGCCCCTTTGCCGAAAAATATCACGGAACACTGGTTATTTGGGTCGTACCGAATAGTATGTACCTTGATTAACACTAACGTGCAATTGCTTTAGTGAGCGCATTTTTTTTTCATCAGTGAACGATGTTTAACTTCGCTACATTTCAGTCCCAAACGTGTGTTCTGCAGCAGGTGTGTAAAAACAAGCGACGATTATAAGCGAAATAACAATCGAAAGGAATATAGTGTGTTCAAGGCTCGCCAGCATTCCGGTGACGCTTATATAGTGATAATATGCCAATCTGTCACTATATGAAAGTGACCCCGTCGTCATGAGCGGATAAAAACTTTCAAAACGTAGAGCATGAAGTCCGTGGGCTGTGAAAGGTGTCTCTTCGTATTATTTTCTCTGCTGGGGAGCCTTTATCGGGCACTTGTTCTCAAAGATTTCAAGCGTGCCGGTGATATTTTAAGCGCACAAGCAGCTTCGCTCAGAGCAGAAAGAATCGAGCGGTACTTATTTAAAATCGGAATAGATGACGTGGCCTTCAATTTATTTTGATCGTACATGCACGTGTAGTTACTGATCCAGTGTTACTGCGTAGTTCTTGCCGTCTTTCTTAATTTCCAGATATTCTTTGTTTGTTTGGCACATATATCCCCCACGCTGAAAAGTGCCGACGTCGTGTTCGCGCTAACAGTGTCCGACAGTGCACATAAATACACGTACGAAGCCAATTTAGCACCGTCTTTAATGCGATGAATTTGAAAGAAAAACGTCGTAACTGACCACTTATTTCGTCAGCCTGATTGAGAAATGTTCCAAGCTACCTAGTACGTACGAATTATTTGGGATATTTGCTCTTATAATTGAGCGCAGGGAGAAAATGCACTCACTTTTTCCCATAGAAATGCATTACCGGAAGTCAATTTTCGACTGGTTGCTGTCTGCTTCAATTTGCGTCAGCACTGTAGCGCCACTTGAACCTCTAGCGTACATTATAATAACTCTATGGTGTAAATCTACGCACTGCACGCGCTCGCTTCCAGTCCGCCTCCTGTCGTCTGAAGCGCCATCTAGATTTTTGTTTCAAAACTGTGTTTCATGGATTATGGTGAAATGCCATATAGATGCCGTGCTATGAAACATACGTATTCCATAGAATACACTGCAGGTACCATAGCAGCCGTCCTTCAAAAACGGTGGTGCGTCGAATGTCGGGAGGCGAGCTGTGGGAGAGGAGGGTTGCAATGCTCGGGCAAACAGCGTCTATGTGCAGTTCTGTAACAGCTAATCTAGTAATGTTGACCTACATCATTCTCCTTGATGCTTGAGCAATTGAACAATAGGAATATCGTTCAGTGACACTTAGTTTGGCTACACTGCCGCAATACATTGAAATGGCACAACTCATTCATGCACTGCCTCCTGTGGGCTAAAGTTATAGTGGCATTGTACATGTGCCAGATGGTTGGTGAAATTGGTCTATTGGTGGCAAAGGAGTGAGATTTGAACATGATGCAAACAGACTGAACCCTCATGGGTATTTTGCCTTGTCTGTGAACAAGCATAGCCATCTATTATTTGTAGAAATCGTCGGTTTAAAAGGTGATGAGTGAACTCTCAAGAGCTTGAGTGCGGAACTTGCGATTTGCACCAGCTTTATTCTTGGTAAGAAAAAGTAAAAACGTCCACCAGTATGGTGCAATGATGTCACATAAGCCATATATATTTTCATGCAAAATATTCTGGAACCATGATTTTTTTTAAATTAATTAATTGCCCTTACTTGCAGTACATGACAGCCTGAGCTTAAGCTTTTAGAAAATGCTTCTATACGCAATTCCATGCATGGCACCCTGGCTGGTGCTCGTCAATGCAGGCACGTGGATGCAAGCAGAGTTATGGCGACGGCCAGATGCCGTGTTTGCAAACATGTATACTACAGGTGTTATAGAAGCATTACCCAGAAGCCATGCCTGTGCACACATGGCATTTATTACATGCTCTTCAGCTGACATGGAGTTGAGACAGTCGTGATTCCAATGTCTCGAGACATCTTCAGAACCATTATAGGCAGGAAGTAACGACTATCAGCACCGTCAAATTATACCTCTACAATAAATACTATGCCATATCGAGAGCAAAAACCCGTGAAGTACACTGCTGCCAAGACAAGAGCATTGGCTAAATGAGCATGTTTTCGGCTTTTAGGTATCGCTAATATCTACAAGTTTAATTAACTATGACAACACCGCACAATTCCTACGATCCCTGAGCTTCCGTATGCCGTGCCACGGGCAACCCAAGCATGTTCAGTGGCTGTTCCAGGTGCTCCTTAAAGGCCTTTAAGAACTCGGCGACGCTCTCGTCGGTGACCACCCTGGCGTCGTAGGACAGCGTTGCCGCCATGGCTTGCCGCGGTCTTCCGTCCGGTCCAGGTACCGCCTTGGAGCCGCCAATTGCCATGATGGCGGCCTGGGGCGGGTTTATGACTGCGCTGAATTCGGAGATCCCGAACATGCCCAGGTTCGAAATCGAGAAGCAGCCACCCTCGAATTCGTGCGGCTTCAGCTTCCCTTGCCGGGCCCGTTCGGCCAGCTCCCGGACAGTGCTGGCGATCTCGTCGATGCCAAGCCCGTCCGCGTCCTTGACCATGGGCGTGATGAGGCCCGAAGCGGTGGCCACCGCCACGGAGATATCCACCGAGGAGTTCATCTGGACGCTGTCGTCCTTCTGCAAGACCGCGTTCATGGCGGGCACGCGCCCGAGGGCCATCGCGACCGCCTTGATAATAAAATCGTTCACGGACACCTTGACGCCGTCGGCGGCGTACTTTTTGCGCGTCTTCAGCGTCTCGTCGATGTGGCACACGACCGTCATGTAGCTGTGAGGGATGGTCGTTTTGGACAGTGTTAGCCGCTTGGCGATGGCGCGTCGCATGTTGGTCAAAGGGACGTCCTCGTACTCGTTCTCTTCGGCGGCTATGGGGCCCTGCAGCGGGGCCGGCTTCGACGCAGCCGGAAGAGGTGCCGAGGCAGGCGCGGAAGACTTCTTGACGCCTTTTGTCTGCACAAACTCGATAACGTCCGCCTTCAGGAGAACGTTGTGCGGACCACTAGCCGGAACGTCTTGAGGCTTAAGGCCGTAAGCATCGAGAAGGTGTTTGACAGCTGGACCTACCAGAATTCGTTTAGCTGCCGATGTTGCGGCTTTCTCCGGTACTGCTGCGGTTCCCTTCGCAGGGGCGGCGGCGGTCACCCCAGAGGCCGGCGCAGCGGTCGGAGCCTCGTTCGAAGTCGGCACATCAACGTCCTTCCAATCTTCGCCTTCCTCGACCATAATGCCGATGAGCGTGTTGACGGACAGTGCGCCCGAGCTTTCATCCTTCAGTATCTTAGCGAGCGTGCCGGGGTCTTCGATCTCGAAGGCGACGACGGCCTTGTCGGTCTGAATCTCACAGAGGACGTCCCCTGGCTGAATTGGGTCCCCTTCGTTCTTCAGCCACTTGATGATGGTGCCTTCGGTCATGGTGGGCGAAAGCGACGGCATCCGTAGTTCCGTGCCCTTGACGCCGAGTAGAAAGGCGGTGACGTGCACATTCCGAGATTGGAAACAGAAGGTGCCGGGCGGAAGGAATTTAGGAAGTAGACGCAATGTTTGAACGAATCGAGGGGTTACCCCGAGCGCCAAGGACGCCATGCCGACTGCTGCAGCTGGATGCACAATGTTGTAGGGTGTGGCTCAGTTTTCCTCTCTACGTCCGCTATGAACGATATCAAGCAAAGAGATGATACCAACAGCTGTGGCTTAAGTTAGCAAGCATACGTATTAACCACATAATATATTCAGCGAAGTTTGATAACTATTTTAACAATTATTTTAAATCACTTTGAGTCGCTTGCTTCGTTCTCCAAATCGGCCACCAGGATACCACCAGAAAGCTTCTCGTCTCGCCATCCTCGCCATCTACTCGTTTCTGCTGCTCGTACCGGCGCACGTTCGGCGCAGCGTCAGAATACAATGTTTTGCTGTATTTAATTGTTAGATACTTTTGATATAACCATAAGTTTTAAGCATGCCATCCGTGCTTTTGACGGAATCCATCGCAGTCGAACTTGGAGGTGGGTAAGGTTACATTTTCCTCGTGTGTAGATGCGATTTCCGAAGCAAGGTCGTCTGCACCGTCTACGGTCAATGTTTTGATCTTAGCAAAGTTCCCGCTTTTCGATGGAATCGCATTAACTGGACGCAGCTAATTTTCTCGCAGCTCACGAGCCCTGGCCCGATGATGCCAAAGTCTTCCAGTCCTTCGAAAGTGAGTTCTCGTTTCGAGAAAAACACCACACGAAACGCTTGGAATGATTGTGCCTATCTATTTGGCTGGTTGAGTGATTGATTGGCGACTTGATGCCTACCCTGCAGAGTCGCAGATCCTCTTGCCAGAGAGTGCAAGCTCTCTGGGCGTTCAGACTTTCCTCAGGATGGCGGGACTCGACCACGAAGTGGAAATGCGTGCCAACGTTGAGAGCATCTCGCCTTCCGGTACATTTGGTTTTGTTTCTTTGTTTTGACACGGGGACGTGATCCCTTGCTTTCTTCCCATCAAAAGGGGGGTAACAATGACCTGTGACACCCGCGGGGTTTTGTTAAAATGACAGATTCGAGTTTCCAATCTGCGCTACTGGAGCCATGTTGATAATAACCGAACTACTTGGTTTCGTGCAGATGTAAAAAGTCTAAGGAAAACTAAGGTAGTTTTCTTTACTTTATGCTCCTCTCAGATATCAGCTCCGAAGCCTTGTTTCTAGTGAGGTTTTTTCACTTCATGGACACCTTCCTAGTAGAGATTGGTGCCGATGCATGTAGCAACTCTTGTAGGAACATAAAAAATTATGAAGGTTCATGCTACTTTGTGAAAGTTATGGGGTTCCGGTACGCTCCAGTGTTTTCTATGTTCACCTGTTTTAAAGTAGGCTGTGCCTAGGGTTCCGTCCAGACGGAACAATTGTCACCACTAGAGCTTCGTCCAGATGGAAAGTTAGGAAACCCTGTAGAGTCTGTTCAGAGGGAACGATAGCCACCGCTAAAGTTCCGTTCAGACGGAAGAGAAAGGCGCCACTGAAGCACTGTCCAGCATATATGGGGGTTGAGCCCTATATGCTCCACCCATCACCCATTTTCGAAATAACAACGTACTGGCAATGTTCCTAAGTTATTTTAATTTAATCTTTTTTTTTTAAGTGAAATTCACTTGTTCCAGCAATCCTATAAAATTTCTACTGCTTCCTGGAAAACAGTATGTCCAACCGCTGCAAACCATGCATCTCCCCCAGCCTCTCTTACCTTATGTAACTAGAGCCCTGCGCGGGTAACAGTTTGAGTATCCGCATCCGCAGACTTTGTATCCGCATCCGAACCACATCCGCATCCGCAAACTTTTTACATTATTGTATCCGTATCTGATCCGCATCCGCATACTTTGAATCCGTATCCGAACCGCATCTGCAAAATGTGGAACCATGTCGCCACCAGAAGTTACGATTACATTTAGACTAGCAAAATAAGTGGAAATCACGCCGACCGCATTCTTCCCTGCCGCATGCGGAATTTTCACCTGTGGCCCCTTAACTCTCACCTGAAGTCTGAACGCCTAAGAAAAAAAAGGTCATAAAAAAAAAGTTTGGAAAGAGAGGAGGAGAAGCAGTGGTAAGAAGACAAAATCCTTTCTGTGATGTTGCCGAGCGTATGCGGCCGCCTCGAGTCTCACGGTGTTTCGTGTCAGCCAGCGGGCAGATGCGCCGCTAAGTCAGAGTCCAATGCCTGATCGGATTGACTAGCGTACTGTTCGAGAAATATCGCGGCCTGCAGGCACCCAAATATATATATTATGAAAGAAAACATGTTTTTTTTTTTTCGTTTTTGTTTTGCTTGGGGCGGCTACGTAGGTTGCCCGTGGCAGCCGCTGGCATTGCTGGCGCTCTGCCGCCGTAACCGGACGAATATGAAGACCAGACTTTCTTGGCTAGAACTCCAAGCATACAAAAAAGAAGCAGGCAATTTAAGGGCTGCCTATGGGTGTGCGCCGCTGATTCCGAAACTTTGTAAACCGTGGGGCCACAGGGTCGCGCTTGCTATCGAAGCATTCTTTTGTTTTTGGTATCATGACCACACCACTCTCAGCGAAGAGGGGGAGGTTTCTTCTACCTTCTTGTGACTTGTTCGTTTGAGGTTTTCTTTGCCCGAAAAAGTTTTTCACTCTTTCCCTGACAAAAAACTAGCTTTCTTGGCACGATTGATGCCCTGCATTCTTTACTTTTACTTTTTCTATTCATAACATTTTTGACAAGATGAAATGCACTAACTGAAGCGATCTTCAGTAAGAATCAGATCTTTCTTGTGATCCCTATTGTTTCTTTGAAGCGCGTTTGCAGAAATACGTTTCGTGGACAACTTTTCACGGACATACATTTCACGGACACACGGTTCGTTGACGCTGTACCTTTTGTGGGCACATGCGCCTGCGACGTTTTGTCGACAACGTATTTCTTCACTAAGCCGCTAAAAGCTAGCGCGCGATTCACTAAGGCAAGCTTAGCCAAACCATGTCCCTCTCCCCCCCCTGTAATCCAGGCGAGACGCAAAAAGTTTGTTACGAAAATAGCAGGATTGTGTGCAGCGAAACGTCTCAGGTTTTCCGATGGAACGGACACGGGAAGCTTTTGGATGAAACATCGCATGTCGACGAAACAATCTGTAGATGAAACGTCAGTCGACGGACTGAATGCCACTGGGCAAAAATTTAGATCCGAATCCGCGGATATCCGCATCCGCAGCCTCTGACATCCGATCCGCAATCCGCCAAAATCCGTCTGATTTTTATCCGCATCCGCCAGTTTGCTGCAGATATCTGCGGATAATCTGTGGATATGCAGGGCTCTGCATATAACCATTAAAAATCTCCTTCCATGTGGGTGTTTCTTTCATTTTTTTTTTAAAGAGCTTGTTGTTATTGGGAATTAATACAGTGAATGCAATCGATATAATTTTCAAAGCTGTGTTTAGGAATGACAACCATTCTAATGCAAGATCTGAGGCTGGATGCATTGTCGTAATGAAGGAGCACTCCCTGTCTCGACTTCTCATGACGTTTCTCCGTGATTGCAGCGTATAATTTTGTTATTAAGTTTGCAGAATAAGATCCTGGTATCGTGGCTCCACCTTGTAAATAATCGCAAGAAAAAACACCCTTGGCATCCAGAAAAAATTTACTAAGAGCTTGTTATTGTTTCTGTATAGCTTGGACACGAAAAGGTACAATACTCTCTACTGGGCCCTCTGGATGGAACATACGGGGCCCTACGACGCTTGCTGTCGTGCCGTCTGGACGGAACCCTACTGGGTCTGTTATCATTCCATCTGGACGGAACTCTGCTGCGTCTGCTACTGTTTCGTCTGTACGGAACTCTAGACATTCTTTCAAGAAACCCAATTTAGGAGTCGTGAGGTGTGTATTAGAGTCATGGTTAGCTCTATGTCCTCTACCGCCTTTGGAGCTTCACCTCCGACTTTTATATATAGCCCTATTTGTTGGTGCTATTAATTTAACACTTGACAATCATCAGGAATGGTATCCGATGGCTCTGTACAGACATTATAGTGAGCTATCCTCTACTTGTCTATTGTCAACTCTCCTGAGTTCATACTTTATGAGAACAATAATCAAATTCCCTTTTTATTTCCACAGGTAACATGCCAGTGCTAAAGTGCGGGTCGTTCGTAATAGCTGAAATGGACCCCATCGTTGCCTTTGTGAACACAAAGGTAAGTTAGAGTTTGTTCAATCAAGTTGCAAGCCTATTCACTGTTTGAGTGAACACAGCTCTCAAGTGGTGTAAATGTGTACAGGTTGTCCCAAACATCTCTCACTCATGCATCATCAATTATGTGCTAAAAATCAGCATCCCATGAAGTGAGTTTAAACTTTTCTCTAAAAAGGTACATCTCAGAGAATGCATTTAGTTGATGAGATCTCAAAATGAAGCTCTGCTCTTGTTTAGCAACCAGAACAGGGCAACTGACTTTTATTGCTAAATGACAGCTGACTGTTTGAAAATGGGATGTATCCATCTTCAGCTTTTACCTACACAGAGTTATGCTCTGAAGTGAAACTAGTTAAACCAAATTTCTAAAACATTTTTGAGAAAAATTTGGTCTTCCTAATACCAAATGCCCCACTCTTCGGGCTAAACCTAGTAGCAGGAAATGACGTGATGTTGTGTATCTTGTTCTTGACTTCCTCCACCAGGGAATCCAGCTCACCCAAAACCTGAGTGTTCAGCAGAAGGCGGACATCAGGGCGTACATGTCTCTCATCAACACTGTGCTCGTTAGTGCTGAGGTGAGACCCACATTGCTTTGGTTGAGAATTTTCAACGTTGCTTACTGCATTCAGCTGTTGGGAAGCTATGGACAAAAAAACCATGCTAGAGTAGCTGGTGTGGCTGACAATAATGGCAATCAGTCGCTAGAGAAGCTGCTTTCAACTTTCTCAGCCTATAGCTTTTTATCTTAAGAAACATAGACCAGCAGGTGTGGTGTGTGGCAGTCGCTGTATTGAAGTTTCAGTGTATAACAGACCTAGATGGATAGATGAATGGATACGGCGACCCTCTTAATCAGGCGGCGGCTTGCACCATGTAGCCCAAGCTTCTAAATCTAACAATTAACTAATCTCTGATTAAATTGTAATTTAATGGAGAAGGGCAAAGAATCTCATATCGCCGCTAAGCACGAGCATTTGTCTACCATTCTTCACAACCATAAGCTACAATTCGTGTGACGCTGGCGCCACTTTGCAACCTGGTGCGCACACCTTTCGCTTTACGGATTGAAAAGAAAACGAATAAAAAACTTCCTTCTTCCCTTGCCTCGTGCCACCAGTCCGATAACCACCCAATGCCTGTACAAAACAGGTATCACCTTGAAGAACTGCAGGGTGAAGCCCTTTACAGTAAAGTATTAAGCATTCAGCCGTCTCGTTTTACTCCCCACATGCTTCGCACTCTGTATCCATGTCCTGATATTTTGCAACACCCCTGTCTTGGCCTTTTACTGAGGTACCGCTATATGGAAAGGTAACGACCTCTTTCCTCCTCACTCTTTATTTTTATCTCTTTTTGGCGCAGCGCACGCCGCTTAGGGGGTACCAAGAAGGAGAGAACTAGCAGACGACGGCCGTGTCATCTCTGTGCATCCAGAGAGCACACTCCTTTGCATTGTGTACTTGCGAGTGCAGGTTGCTGATATATACTCATAGTGCATAAAGTGCCACGCAAATGTTAAACATCTAGAGAAAATTAATTAAACGTGCCGGCAGCGCTCTCTACTTTCGAATAGGGTTCACAGAACTAAAGAGTACAATGTGGTTTTCACGAGCGTTGTAAGCTACCGTCGTCATAAATCAATAAAAGACGTATGTTTTTTTTTGTTTTTTATTTGCACTGCTTTAGAGGGTTAGTGTGTTGTGAATACTTCAGAAAGACATCATGATATTCAGCCCCACTTAATCTGTGCGGTGAGAAATTCTTGATCCTGCGATCTCCCACGAGCCCAATGACTGTAAGCGCTAATTGCGATCGCTGCTGTCTCCGTGCTAAAAAGAGCTTGAAAAATTATGGCATGCCTACTGTAGATAAACATGCATAAGCTATTGGTAGGCAGGACGGCATACTATCGCAATCATTGCTGTCAAAGTGGTTTTGATTGAGGCCTAGTGTACACATACACATACAGCGTACACGAAAATAGTGACACTTTGGATTGGAAAACAACGCATTTCCGTAAGGGACCGACTCAGAATTCTTAGGGAATTACGACCTGCATACTGCGTCGGATATGCGACCCTTTGCTACGCTAGAGAAGAAAAGTGCCGCGTATTATTATGCCATGCTTGGGGCAGTTTTTTGTGGCATCGCTATATATGCATAAACAAGAAACCCACAGAATGGTCCCCACTGCTCAAGCAGATGTGGATTTGCTTACCATTCTGCACGAACAAATACACTTTGCTACAATGTGCAATTGGCATAATATCCCCTCGCAAAAAAAAGCCGAGTGCCGGCAAAATAGTTTTTTTTTTTTTTTTTCACACGTTTCCTTAATTAAAGGTGACACTTGCTACAATTATTGTGTTAGAAAGTGTGTATGTACGTTATGAGACTTTGCAAAAGTTCAAATTCTCATGATCGAGTAAAATAAAAGAATCCCTCTATTCTGGTAATCCTGTTCCTGTGTTTAAGGCTTTCCTAACGCTCTCTTTTTTTTTACATTCACGTTACTTACTTCACACACTCTTGTACCTGTCATGGGTGTAATATCCTTTCTCCCGATTCCGTGCAACCACACTTTTCTTCTGGTGGTGTTCTCTTTCCTGTATGAAATGCAGAAGAACTTTTTGCCTTCACCTGTTCGAGTGCTGCAGTCCACTGCACTGCAACAGGCATCTCGGCCGTTCCACTATGCAATTCGTAGCGAAACATGCATGCAGTGATCCTGGTCTCGCCGAAAAGCTATGAAAAGTAAACGAGCCCGGCAAACGACAACAACAAAATTAGAATGAGCAGCTAAACAAGTCCGGATCCACTCGACGTAAATCAAACTTGGCGCTGGCGTAGACAGCGACGAGACACGGACAAATCTGCTGGATTTTTCATGGCAGCCAAAGGGGCGGAGTGCTAGAAGAAGGTCAGGTGTCATACACCGGCCTACCGCTGAGCTCGGTGGCATGATCAAAGGTTGTCGCTACTTTTCCAATATAGAGGGACTTTACGTTTTTCCAGTAACGAGCACCATCTAGGGAGTTGTCTGCAAACTACAAATAAGGGGCGGCCCATGTCCCTCCGCCCGTCGAAAAACATTGGTTTTCATTGATTTTTGTGCCCCATACTATTGATGCTGAAAACATAATCGTCGAAAAAGACACAATTTGTGCAAAGATAGTTGCTGACAGTGTCCGTCATAGGGGACAATGCCTTCAGAAAGTGGCAGCAGCGGAAAGCAGGTCCAAAGGAGAGGGTGTATGCATATGCAAAAGGTTACTGAAAAAAGGTCCATTGGGCATCAATATAAACCCTGTGCTTGGAGTATAGGGAGGGAGACAAATGTCTCGTGTTTAGACATAACTCTACCTATGAATTGGCATGCCTGTTCATACAGCTGTCTGCACGTATGGCAAGTGCCTTAGCAGACCTGACTATCATTTCCAAATGTGGCCGAAATTCCACGTGAGCTTCGGTGTTTACCTAGCACCAGAGATGTGCGAATGCCTGGGTCTGTAATTATACGTTTCATTACTTCACATTGCTGCCTCGAGTAGTCATTCTTCTCAGAACAGAGGAAATGTCCTAGTGAAAAATTCTCCAGCTGTCGAGGTAAAAACTCCCTCTGTTTGTCTCCTTTCAGCTCTACATCTGCTGGGCGAATGAGGAAACCTACAATGAGGTGAGTGACGCACCCCTCGCTGTACCAGGCTGTGCAACTATTCGCTATTTAAGTGTGGCAGCTTCCTTTCATTTCATTTGTTAGTTTGAAAACTTACTTGTTACGAGGGCACTCCAGCAGTAGACTTTTGTTTGATTTGATTCCATAAAATACTGAACAAGTATCATCCCAATGTTATGATTTAAATTGAACAGACATAAAGGGTGGTTACTTCTTGGAGTGAAATTTATGTGTACACTTTGCAATGTAACTAAACCATTCCAAACTTAAAAAAAGCAAGGGGCACTTTTTTTTAGTAGAGGCGTTTTCTTGGTATTTTACGGTAGGTAATCAATGGGTCAGGGTTTTTAGAAATGACTCTGCAGGCAGGTTTGCAGGACAGCAACAGTGTGGGTTAGTAGAACAATTTTTTACCTGCGGCAGTTTGTTGAATGAAAGGTAGTAAACGTTCAAACTGTTCTGAATGTCTTGTTTTCTGTTGCTCTTCGAACTGTGCAAATATTCCTAGTTTTCGAACAGTGAATTGAATATCGCCCTATTCATTTTCTCATTTGAATCATATAGTAACTTTTCAAAGTTTCGAATGTTTTTAGAATAATTTCCGAAAATTTGGAACGGTTTAGCGCTGCAGGTCTCCCATCTCAAGTCCCCTACCCGTGCATGCTGTGTGTGTCAAAAGATGTCGCTGCGCTCTTCTAGGATATGATCATTATGAGCAGTACTGATTTGCCTCTATTCTTGCGGTGTTGTTTCATCCATCTACGATTACATCTGATGTTAGCTGCTCACTTTCAGACAAAACTACTCTTACACGCTTTCAGAAAGCGTGACATGGCGAGATTTTCTATCTATAGACCTCTTCACCATCCTTCATATGGGCGCTGCCACCTTGGAATCATGTGATGCGGCCTCCATTAGGTTGCTTCAATTCGTCGCTCTGCTCTCCCCTTCACGCATTGAGGATGCATTGTGTACACATGTTTCGTCCCAGTTCACAGCATTTTTTTGCCTCACTTTGTGAAGTGTAGTCCAATACTTATATTACTACATACCGTAGAATACCGCACGATTGCCCATTCCACACTAAGTACCCTTTCCCAACATTACAGTACAGTACATTTATATGTAAAATTGATGAGCCGACAAGTGCCCATTCCCCATTTTACAACGAAGCTGTTATGCGCTAGGATCTGGGAAAAAATGTGTCTGCAGATGTTGACAGAAAACTCCCCACTGGTCGTGGCAAGTGTGAATAAATAAAAATAAAAAGAGGGGGCAACCAGCGTGAGTCAGCCTTCCTTGGAATTATTAGATAATGAGGTCCTGATCCCTTGTTATCATCTCTAGGATCGTTCTCAAGGTCGTCCTAGATGTTGTCCTTGAGGTCATTCTCTAGGCGTCGTCCTCGAGGTCTTCCTAGAAGTTGCCCTTGAGGTCATCCTCGAGGTTGTCCTAGAAATTGTTCTAGAAGTTGTCCTCGAGGTCATCCTTGTATGAACTATTTGTATATAACAAATAGTTTATTCCCTAAAGCCAATATTGTGAAATGTTCTTAATGAGTACTTTAAAAGGGCTGGTAATGAAAGGAATTTCCTACTCGGCCTTGGTCAGACTGTCTCAGTATTTCTCGAGTACTTAATTTCTTTAAAGAAACCAGGCTAAGACAATATCTCTTTTTTTTTTTTGCAAATTCTCTGATTCATTATACAATGCTTTTCCAGTATGTGAAGTTCGCATTGTCTACGACACGGCCGTAGACAATGGTAGTCCTCCCCGTGCATCAGTTTAAAATTAACAATGAACGTAATCAGACGCATCAAAAGTTTTGGTAAAACAGCCTGCAATTTGGGCTAGAAACGACTTTGTGGGTCTCAAGTACCACGGTTTCATTGGTTGTGTGCTACAAGGGAAATATTTATATTAAAAAATGAAAACCGTTTACAACTTCCTGGAACGCTGAATTAGAGCGCAGCTCTTGAAGAGGAGGAGGGGAAGATATGGAGAGGAGGCTATGCCCCTCCTCCTGTCCTGCTCGCCTCCCATTTAGGGGAAAATTTTCCGCTAAATCTAGCGGAAAAAATTCCCCGCTAAATATAGTGCTGAAATTTTTCCGCTAGATCTAGCGGGTAATTTTTTCCGCTAAATTCAGCGGTGAAATTTTGCCGCTGATTCTAGCGGGGAAAATTTTCTGCTAAATTTAGCGGGGAATTTTTTTGCTTAATTTAGCGAAGAAAATTTTTTTTTTTTTTTTAAATTTAGAGGGGAAATTTTTTGGCTAAATTTCCTGCTAAATTTAGCGGGGAAAATTTCCCGCTAAATCTAGCGGGGAATTTTTTCCCGGGGAATTTTCCCTTCTAAATCTAGCGGGGTCAATTTTTCGATAAATTTAGCGGGGAAAATTTTCCGGTAGACTTAGCGGGGAAACTTTTCTGCTAGATGTAGCGGGGAAATTTTTCCGCTAGATGTAGCGGGGAAATTTTTCCGCTAAATTTTGCGGGGATATTTTTCCGCTATATTTAGCAGGGAAAATTTTCCGCTAAATTTAGCGGAGAAAATTTTCCGCTAAATCTAGCGGGGAATTTTTTCCCGGGGAATTTCCCCTTCTAAATCTAGCGGGGAATTTCCCCACTAGATTTAGCGGGGACAATTTTCTGCTAAATTTAGAGGAGAAAATTTTCCGCTAGATTTAGCTGGGAAACTTTTCCGCTAGATGTAGCGGGAAATTTTTCCACTAGATATATCGGGGAAATTTTTCCGCTATATTTAGCAGGGAAAATTTTCCCCTAAATTTAGTGGGGACATTTCCCGCTAAATTTAGCGGGAAAAATTTTCCGCTAAATTTAGCAAGGAATTTTCCCGCTAAATTTAGCAGGGACAATTTTCCGCTAAATTTAGCAGGGAAATGTTTCCGCTAAATTTAGCGGGGAGAATTTTACGCTAGATTGAGTGGGAAAACTTTTCCGCTAAATTTAGCGGGAAAATTTTCCGCTAAATCTAGCGGGGCAAATTTTTTTACTAAATTTAACAGAGAAATTTACCCATCATGCACTGCGCGGTTACGCCGACGTCGACGCCAACACCGCTCAAGCCGGAAACGGATGCCAAAGAGCTGCGCTCTAAAAATTAACCAATAACTGCAGAGAACAGCAACACCGCCCCGTGCACGCTGGAACCGAAACCAACCAAACTGAAGCAACCTAAGTGCAACGAGTGCATTAGCGCCCTCTATCTGCTGGTCAGATGATTTGTGATATGAAATGTCCATAAATCGGTGACCAGCTGCTATGGCGCCGCTGCTCAGTGCGAGCCAAGTAGAACCAGGACATTTTTCTAAGAAAAAGCACAGTGGAATGCAGAAGTTTTACTGCTCCAGCGCTGGTTCGTCCACGTGTCTAGTCCACGTGTCGCGGACAATGGTGTAAGTAAGTGTCACAAGGCTCTGACTTCATTTTAGTTTTCGTCTTTATTGAATCATACAGTTTAGTCTAGTCATAGCATTTACTAAACGTGTTTTACAACGATTTCTAGAGAATGATGTAGACAGTCAACTGTATTCTTGTGGATGGTGTATACTTCTTTATAAACATTCTACCTACTGTTCAAGAACTATTAGGATATTATTTTATTTGTATTGATGTTCAATTCAGTACCGCTACTATTCAGTTCATTTCCGATTTGGTGTGAAAATAATAATTATTTGCACACCCCTAGTTACTGCCCACCTTCACTACTCAAAAGAGAAGGTGCATGAAAAAGGAAGTAAACTTTGTCATTGTACAAATTAAGTACTGTGGAGCATGTTGGTAAAGTTGACTTGACACAGAAAGCATACTCGTGAAAAAGGACGACAAACATATCTTTCAAATTGTGACAAAATGAATGAAGTTAGAAGTCATTGTTATTTAAACTTTATTTGTCCCAGCTTTTTTTACCCATAATTTTTCATTAGCAAGGCATTGCAATAGGAAGGTTTAAAGGAGCTGTGCAACGATTTTAACGTTGAAGGAATTGGCATTTTCTGCTTTTGATATTGTTCACTGTGTCACAAATGGCAGAAAACACACCTCTTTTCATCGCAATGTTGCGATTCCGCCGCGTAATAGCGAGGCAAAACTTGGAATATTTCCCGACCTGCAGCCACGAGCGGCGGCCATGAGAAACAAGCGGCGTGACGTAACTTGGGTCGTTGTAAGAAAGATAGCAAGTTGTGCGAATACCTGCTCGATAAAAGGTAACTCTTTTTACAAATCTTGTCGTTCCAACATATATATAAATGCGGCAACACCCTGGTATCATCGACAAAACTTTTATTATACGGAGTTTTAGTGGCGCCATCTATCCTAGGTCCACAAAACCGCGAACAGCCGCCAGAAGCCGGAGGGGGAGGGGGACAGCGCCACACTGGCAAGGACGGGTGGTCACGCGGTCGGCAGCGGATGAGTTCTCGCTGCTCGCTGATGGCTCTAAAGAGAGAACTTTTCCGGAACTCCGCGCCTACTCTAGTGACGTCACTGTGCACGTGACCCGGAAGACGATGCACGAGTTGAGAGGCGGCAAAAACCTGGATCTTTTTCATTTTTTTAAGTAAAAACTAGGGTATCCAGGCAAAATCTGTTTTCTGTAGTTCACTGCAGAAGTGTCAGGCATCAACTTCCACAATTATTTAAGCAAAGCCCTGAAATTGTTGCACAGCTCCTTTAAGTATGTCACAAAGAAGTGCTATGAAGCATGCATGTGATAAAGCTACAATGCATGAATTGGCACATCCACAATGAAGTGACTATGGCACAGGCAGATTTGCCAATGATTTATTGAAAAAGACACTGACACCCCCCTAAAAAGTTTTTTTTAATTTTCTTTTAGGCGATTTTATAGGGTGCCAGGAGACTACACTGACTACCCAATCAATATTTTGCTACAGAGTCACATATATTTTTACTAAAGTAAGAAAACTCAACTGCTTGAAACCAAAACTGAAACATGAGAATGGAAGTTCATGGCCGCGACACATGGATGATGTGTACTGAGGAGGAGAGAGATGCCGGAGGTCATGTATCTACACCTGACCCCATTTGTTTTTCCCTCTGTTTTTTTAGCGTTTCGAGCAGACGACGAAGTTGCGTGCGCCGTTTTCTGTGCAATTGTTTCGGACTTATATCCCTTCCGCTCAATGTTCTCCACTTGAAAATCGATTGCCCGATGCTGCGAACAACAGTTCCAACGTAGCGGCGCTATGTCTTTTGCAATATTCGTTCGTCGTGTGCCGCCATCGCGTCGTCCAGCCCGCGGTGCGTCGCCATATTGAGAATGACATGTACATGTGCTTCCTGTGATCTGTGCAACACTTTTTTTTTTCGATCAACATATTTTTTGTTTTTTGGAGGCCACAAAAAGGGGTTCATGTTCTTTTCTATTTTTAACATTGAATGTGTGCCCTAGATGACCCACGACTTTTAAATATTTGGTACACATATTTTGTATGCCACCGGCTGTTTTTGGGCGGAAAAGAAACAAATTTTAAGCCGCATATTCTGTTTTAGTAGTTGGGCTCAACGTGAGGTTCATATAAACACCTCAACAAGCATAAATACCCTGTCAGTGTCCCTTTAATGCTGCCAGTACTGTTTAAAAAGGAGCATTGATTAAAATGATGCACCAGATACGCAATTGAATAATTGATCACGACATACTCATACTATCAGTTGAGTACTTTTCTGAATTTCGTTTCACATCTCAGGTGACGAAGCAACGCTATGGCTCGGTATATCCCTGGCCCCTGAACCACATCCTGTGCTTCCGCAAGAAGCGCCAAGTCATGGCCAAGCTTGCTGTTTCCGAGTGGAGTGACAAGTCCTTGGATGAGGTCAGTTCCTGTTTGTGTTTACGGTATTGCTTATTAGCATTCAGAATTACGGTTTCTGGGGATTTTTGGGGTAGGCTGTTAGCGAGAGTGTAAAAGCGTAATGCTGGTTCTGGAGACCTTCTGTGTTCAAGAGGTGCCTTTGTAGTTTGAAGTTTTTTCATGTTGTGGCATAGCCTCCTCTATACTCACAAAGCCTGGCAGTTCGTCGACGGAGCCATAGAATGCCCACTCACAGATTTGGAGCTCAAGGATCTGGTAGCACAAAGCATTAAAGAGCCATTTCTTCGGGAACCTGGACTTCAGCGCACAGCTTTTGCAGCGTCGAAGACCCGAAACACACTTGTTCGCTTGGCGGAAGTGTGTTTCGGCATCTTGCCGCAGCGGGGTGCCAGTCGTGTGGCTCTCCTCTCATCCGTTGTCTGCCACTCCACCTTTTCTATTTCGGTGGTCGCTTCTCGTGGCGATCTGCCAGGCTTTGTCAGTATATAGGAGGCTATGGTTGTGGGAACATTCCCACAAGACTGTGTGCAGTCCAAAACCGAAGGCTGTAACTAGGGTAATTGTGGTTAGCGAGTCCTCATTCTTTTTAAGGGCAGGCTGTGCATAAAATTGGCAGGGTGTCTAGCGATCGGGAAAGCCGGGAATTTTCAGGGAAATTTTAATTACCTGGAAAAATCAGGGAATTGTCAGGGAAATTGTCAAAAAGCGAGCCCAGTCAGGGAAAATGAGCCGCAAATGCCATCATGTGCCCTGAGCAAAGACTTAAAAACTTGGTGGCAGAAAAATAGGCAATAAATTCTGCTTAAAGCGGAGCGCGGGCTCTGCTCACCGGATGTAGAGTGTGCTACCCAATTCAAAGGGAACAGCCGACAAATCCAGTTTAAGCCTTGGATTGGATTGAGGGCGTGACATTAGGCTAGGTCCACTTATAACTACAAAATTTAGTAACAAATGGGAAAGCTGCAGACCCTGATTTAATCCAAGCCTTAAGCCGAAAGTGTGCATCTGGCAGCCATGGTGCCATTCGGTCATTGACGTGTGTGGTTGAGCGTCGTATTTTCATCATGTTTCCGGAGGTGGCCTCTTCATGGACGATGTCGACGGCAATGATGTCGCGGACTGAACGAACGCTAATATTTCGGAATATGCAAGTTGGATTAAGTCCATGCAAAATGATCCTCACGGTGCTCAATGCTCAATGCCTTGTGTTGTAATGGTCTTATATATTTAATCGCCTCTACTGTGGTCAGGGAATTTTACCTGAAATCGTCAGGCAAAACCTGGAAAAGTCGGGGAATTTTAAAATAATAATTTGCTAGACCACCCTGATTGGTAAAACTGCAAATGGGCGAGAAGACAGACATGTGCACTATCATCAATACAGTTTGCTTTTTCAAAAGCAATGACTCTTACCAGTTTTTTTTTTAAATACTGTTCGAATAGAAAACATTAGTATTTAGAAGTTTTCCTCCTTCTGACCATAAGAGGTCCTTCATTTGAAACATATCATTCTTTTCTTTCATTCTTGCATTCACCTGTTCACCATTTTGTCTCGTAGCGCATTTCCTCAGACTGTTTTTGGCCGACGCCGACCTTATGCGTCTCCGTTCAGTCTCATGTCTGAGAACTCTGTCCTATGATGGCTCGCACAATTTCTTGCGGAACTTGTGTGAGCATGATTTGAGTTCTGTCACTGCTTCTCGGGATGAGACGAGTATGCGGCATTCGGACTAATCGGTGGCCATTTCCTGCCTTTCTTACTCTTGCAACAATTATAGAAATACAGTATTTCATAATGCACTTATACAGTTATGGAGATACAGTATCTCCCAATGCAGGACGCATCGCAAAATCCGCAACTGGACATGGTGAAGCGTTGCTACTCTTTCCGAATACGGTATGGTTAGGGTGGCGTCAACATCTGGACTGCAGGAAAATGATTCAGAAAAATTGGGACCTGTGTATTGCAAGTTGAAAAGATTATCAGAGGTTTATATTTTAGTGGCCATTTCTATTCTGTGAAACGTCAAGGCGTTGCTTTGTTTCGCAGTAAAATATATGAACCACATCACTGGAAATCGGACGCCAGAGGTGGATGTTGCGCTCAGAAAATGGCACGGGAGCTGCGGTCGATAAAAACGAACATAATTTTTGTGTAATCTTGATTTTACTTAAAATGAATCATGCACACTGGGGTTAATGCTATGCATGTAGAAAACTGTGTTATCTGCTTTCTGTTTGTATTAATATGCAGTGCCACCTCTTATAGGAACACTCAACGTAAGAAGCATCTGTTTGCATCTGAGTCTAACTACCAAATTTACGGTTATTTCATTATTTTTTGTTTTGTACTGAAACGCAGCAAGCAAATTTTCTAGATTTCACAAGTGAAGATCGATGATGTGGATGCTTGGGCTAGTTGGCGCTGTTCCGTCCAAGAGTGAAGATCAACCATTAAAGTACACCTTTGATTAAAATACCAGCTCGATACGCGCACATACCGAATTTTCTAGCTTATTCACTGCAGCTCAAATTTCAATGTCGCCTTATACTACAATTATGACATCAACATTTCGAGCATCAGCTTGTTGTTAATACAAATTTTACTGAGAAGAAAAACGTTTTTTTTTATGGCAATGGGATGGTTGGTGAGAGACTCACCTTTTATGCTCCTATATCTTCCAAAATACCCTTTTCACATACCAGTAGGTACACACAAAGGCTCTTGGAGACTACATGAACAGATGTTGCTATTTTGTGGGCTTAAAGTGGCATGAATGGTGTTCGATCTGCCCCTACAGAGAAATTAAACAGGTATCTGTTTAATTTCTCTTTTAATATCTTTAACGAATTGAGACTGTTGATGCTTTTAAATTTTATTTTGATAATTGGACCAGTAAGACATCTTTTAGTGAATTTTCAGCATGCTAAGCCGACTGGCAGATGGAATGCTCAAAAGAGCTCTAGCATGAGGGTCAAAGAGCAAGTGCTGTATCTGGTCTGTTTCTTTGACTTGTGTTCGGGCTGTTTTTACCAACTAACCCTAGTAAATGCATTGTTACTTTACAAGTTGAGCTTGGGTTGGTTTTCTTGCTCTTATTCTGTGTGTGGGTGCTATACGTGGCAACTATGCGGCATGCATTCAATGGCATACTGGGTGCTGGGTTGTCGACTCTGTAGCGACTTTGCGATGCGGGTGTCATTGATGAAAACCTTTATTCGTATTTTCTTGCGCGTAGCGACGTTTAGTTTTCTATACAAGTATGATATTCAACCTTTCCGAAATCCAGACGTATATTTTTTCATAGATTCAGCTGCTTTTGGGGGCAGCATTACTATTATTTTTAACTCACGTAAAAAAACAGTTTTAACACGGCGTGTTTCTCTCGAGATTCACGTGTAGAAGCGGTTAGCTTTAGCCCGGGTCTGTAAAAAAAATTCAACGAGCTTTTTTCCGGGATTCCCCCCAGCGCCAAGGGTAGACTCCGTTCCCAGCTAAGCTGACAGTGCGGTCGAAGCTACGCGCCCGTTAGACCAATCAACCGCCTCCATTTGATCACGTGACCCCGCTCACTGCGTGGTTAAATGGGCGGAAGCGTGTTCACGCGGCGAGAGATAGACGTATGACTGGACGAACGAGCACGTAGCTCCCACCGTGGCGTCAGCTTATCGTTGTGCAAAGTGCAGTCTGTGACTCTGCATCGTAAAAAGAAAAATTGGAACAATTTCCGGCCCGTCCCAACACCGCATTCGACGAACTGGAGGGGAAGCTGGCCGAGACGATGCTGGTTGAAATGCTTCCTCGCATGCATGGCGGAGCTCTGGAGAAACAACGTAATTGCGCTAATTAAAAGAAGCGTAAGCGCGCGGGCAGCTGGTGGAACACAACCATAATTAATTATTGAGACAGGAGAAGCGAAGGGGGGGGGGGGGGGACGCTTAAAAAGATGGACGCTGATACGCACGTCTCTTGAGACGGGGTGTGTATATCTCCCTTTTATTGTAGCTGTTTGTTTGCTCGCCTCGTTCTTCCACGTTTGAGTTATGATTCAGGGGTGGAACGGCTGCGCCATTTGCGCCATTTTGCGCCAGACGCATTTGTCTGCGCCATCCTGCGCCATTTTGCGGAAACTGCGCCACAGCCAATACATCGCGCCTTTGTGCTCCAAATCGCTGAACGTGCGCCCAATTTTTTTTTTTTTTTTCATTTTGTCTTGGTTTCGGTTTTTATCGACTCGATTGGCAACAATGAGCGCGTTTAGCTTGGTCGGCCTTGCAATCCTTTGTTCTGTTTATTCTTCCTTTGTATCCCAATTCCCGAGTCGGAAGCGCGCGAAAAAACTCGGGGTTCCAATTCCAAGTGCTACACCACCTGCGACTGGATTGCTGTTCTTCAACCATAAGCGGCTAAGCAAGTCGGCCGAGAAGAGGTAGAGCCGTTAAGCGTCAGATTACCTGAGGCTCTGCGGCCCGGGTTCCGGAAGTCAGCCAGTTGAAAACACACTAGCAAACGATTCCTTTTAGTACTTCTTCGTTAGAAGTTGGAACCGCATTCCTGCAAGATAAATCGTGATTTAATAGAACTGAAACGCAGTCCGATCCGAAACCTTGCCGGCCAGCAGCTCTCACGCGAGCGATAGATCTTGCTTGATAAACCTTGCTCCTGCTTATCGCTAAGAACACGATAACTCCGTTAATCGTAGTCTGCTGCTTCAATATTGAGTTAAACAATAGTATAAACTCGGAATTTGTGCCCTGTTCCTCCGCGCAACTGCACGTCCGTTTCTCACGCACGTCACGTGGTTCGCACATATAATTACCATCTCGAACATGTGTGAGTTGTGCCATAAGCAGTGCTGGTTTGTATTTTGAGCAGTTGAAAGCCACTCAGAAAATATCAAGGACACTATCTGCAGAAACATATGGTACTTGCTTTTTGGTTGTCATTAAGGCTCACAAAGTTTCAAGTTTTCGCATCTGTTACACTGTTATCCCACCTA